TCATCTCTCATACTTTAGACACATTATCAGGAGGGATCAGTTGCTGGAGAAGGATATCATGTTTGGTAAGGTTGAGAGTCAGAGAAAAAGAGGAAGACCCCCAACGAGATGGATTGGCAAAGTGGCAGCATCAATGGGCTCAAGCATGGCAAAAATTGTGAGGTTGGCCCAGGACTGAGCAGTGTTTTGTTCTGTTGTACATAGGGTCATTGTAAGTCGATACCGAATCGATGGCACCTAACAACAACAACAATTCAAAAGCTGTTGCAGCAGTATATTGACAGAAAACGGCAAGAGGTTTGAGCTGAATTCAGACAAGGATATGGAATGAGGTATGTCATTGCTGATGTCAAATGATTTTTGGTTCAAAGCAGAGAATACCAGAAAGATGTTCATCTGTGCTTTACTGACTATAGGAAGGCATTCATTTCTGTGGATCATGACAAGCTGTCAGCAACATTGAAGAGAATGAGTATTCCAAGAACATTTAATTGTGCACATGAGAAGCCTGTACATAAACCAAAAGGCAGTTATTTGAACAGAAAATGGAACACCAAATGTTTTAAAATTAGGAAAGGTGTGTAGCAGGGTTATATTCTTTCACCATACTCACTCAATCTGTATGCTGAGCACATAATCAGAGAACTTGCATTATCTGAAGAAAAACATGGCCTCGGGATTGCAGGAAGATTCCCTAGCAACATGCAATATGCAGATGATACAACCTTGCTTGCTGAAATCAAAGAAGACTTAAAATAGTTACGGGTGAGTAAGAGCAAAGACCACAGCCTTCAGTATAGGTTGTATGTACCTCAATGTAAAGAAAACAAAAATCCTCATCACAGGACCAATAAATAACATCAATGGAAAAAGACTGAAGTTGTCAATGACTTCATTTAGCTTGGATAAACTATCAACACTAATGTAAGCTGCAGTCAAGAAATCAAATGATGCACTGCATTAGGCAAATCTGCTGCACAAGACCTTTTTAAAGTCTTCAAGAGCAAAAATGTCAGTAGGAGGACTAAGGTGTGCCTAACCCAAGCCATGGTATTTTTATAACCTCATATGCATGTGAAAGTAAGACAATGAATAAAGAAGACTGTAGAATTGATGCATTTGAGTTATGGTGTTGGAGAAGAATATAAAAAGTGCCATGAACTGCCCAAAGAACAAACAGGTCTGAATTGGAAGAAGTACAGCCAGAATGCAACTTAGAAGCCAGGATGAACAGAGTTTGTCTCATACTTCAGACATATTGTCAGGGAAAACCAATCCTTATGAAAGGACATCATGCTCAGTAAAGTGGAAGGTCCGCGAAAGAGAGGAAGACTCCCAATGAGATGGATTGGCACAGTTGATGTGGCAGTGGGCTCAAGCACAGCCACAATTGTGAGGTTGGCACGGGACCCAGCAGTGTTTTGTTCTGCTGTGCATAAGGTTGCTACGAGTTGGTACCAACTCGACAAGACCTAATAACAACTATAAAGTACAGAAGAGAGATTAAAAATGATAGGGGAGCTCTTCCTTCCTTCGCCATCGTGTGAGTGCTGCTACATTTTATTTTCATCTGTACTATGTCTTCTCACATCGAGAACTTCCTGGCCATGGAACAAAAGCAGAATCGTCCCATTCCCCAATGGATTAAAATGAAAACTGGTAATTATATCAGCTACAACTCCAAGAAAAGACACCAGAAAAGAATCCAGCTGGGTCTCTAAGTAAGTGCACATGTGATGTTACATATGATGTACCTAGGTTCTAGCACTCTGCCTTATAAAGCTAAATTTTGCCAAGATCTGATCAACTGAACAGGTTTTGAAAAACTTCTGGATTCTTCCTTTGTTTTTATGCTTCCACATTAAAAGGTTGGCTAATAAATATGTGAGACCTTTGGTTTGAGAAAAGTGTCAGGGGAAAATAACTTGTTTCTCTTTGCCTTTAAAAAAGTTGGTATCAACCATGGCAGTGAGATGATATATGATGGAATGAATGTAAAACTAAAGTTCTCCCATGTAAACTATCATAATTCACAATAAAACATTAAAAAAAAATTGGTATCTCCATGAATTGTTTTCACAAATGATAATTTGGTGAGAGGTGGAAGTAATTATCTAATTTCCAATCATACAATAAAGTTTACTTTCCTGCCAGTATGAGGTGACTGTGGGGAAAATTGTAATGATCAGAGCTGGGATCTTTTTTCTCCTTCTTTCTTTACATAGATCCACAAGATCATAGAGCAATGAGCATGAAGAGAGCTGTCCAAAATCCTATGGCCAGAGAATGAGCATGATGTGTTCCAAGTCACAAGCCTGATAATAGGAGAATTTGGTTTAGAAAACCTGTTATGTGGATTCCCAGTGCAGTCCTATTCATACCATATCATATCACGCACACACACACACATGCCTCATTCCTGTGAAGAGTTTTATTTTTTGCCCAATATTATACCAGTATCAGTTACCATGGAGTGGATTCCAACTCATGGCAACACCATGCTTGTCAAAATACAGCTGTGCTCCATAGGGTTTTCAAAGGCTGATTTTTTGGAACCCTTTCTTCCAAGGTACCTCTGAGTGGACTCCAACCACTACCCTTTCCGTTAATAGTCAAGTACTTTCATCATTTTCACACTCTACCCAATGTCATAGTCTCCCCTGAAATTTTTGTTAATAATCTTGCAACTGAATATAATTACCTTCCCAAAGAGCATTTGTATATTTAGTAACTGTCTCCAGAAAACAGGGAAACAATTCAATATCCAAAGGAGAAAATTGTACTGGTGGACTTTCTGAAAGAAGATTAGGTACTGAATTACCTGTACAGTGTCCATCAAATCACTTCTTTTCTGAGGGTTTCTTGTCCTTGGGACCATTCAGCCAAATAAACATTCTTGAAAATATGTTGCCATTTATTTTCAATCCAATGTAGTCTCTACCATTTGCTAGGGTTTTACTTTCCCACAGATTGTTGTTGTTATTGTTAAGTGCCATTGAGTCAGTTCCATCCCATAGCGACCTTGTATAGGCTTTCCAAGGAGCAACTGGTGAGCTTGAACCACCAACCTTGTGGTTCAAATTGACTTTGCAGTCCAGCACATTAACCCACAGTGCCATACCAGGACTCATTTGAAAAGAAATCTAAAAATAACTGTTAAATAGAAAGCAATAATGTGTGTAAAATATAAAGGAATTGTCCAGTTTTCTCTATTTTTTCCCCCATAAGACCAACTGACTTAGCATCATGGCAGTATTCCCAGCTGGACTGGTTCATCTCACAGCTCAAAGGGACCTAGACTTTACCCAGGCTATTCCTGGACCCTTCAATTTCAGAGCTTGGCTGTGAATAGAGCCTGAGTATGAGCTTCTTGGTTTTAACATTGAAATTCAATGTTCATTAGAACAAAAGCTTCTCATCTGTATTACTGGGTTCAATATAAGTGGTTTGTCTGACCAACAACATATTACAGTTCCCTTCATATTGCCATGATATTGTAATAGCTCATATTGTTCACTAAGGTCAGACTCAGTTATTGATCTATTTAAACATAAGTACTACAATTAATTAGAGATGGACCTGGACTAAAATATCTGACCTTTCTAGGTGCTTGAACTCTTGAGAGTTCATTGGAATAACTTCAGATAATAGATAAAGAGCCTGAGAATGGCATTTTCTTCTCAAAGATAACCTCGAGAAATGCCTCATAGGAACTGGACCAAGGATTTAGTCTAGCACTGTTTTTATACTTATTCCTAGCAGGTTAGCCTCAAAAAACTATGCTCTTTCACTCTGGAGAGGTCAAGGAAGATTGTGGAAGAGGTTGGAGAGGAAAAAGTCTTGTTTCTTGAAATTAGATAGAGAGATAGGAGATGGATAAATAGAAAAAAGATAGAAACAGAAAAAGAAAAATGGAAGAAAGAAAGAAAGGAAGATAATAAATATGTGGTTAAAAATATAGATAGATAGACAGATGAATAGAAAGAAAGAAAAAAGATAGATGATAGATAGCAAATAGCCAGGTCTTTCTCCTAGTCTCTCTAGTCTGGAAGATCTTCTCAAACCTGTTTATCACAGGTGAGCCTGATAGTCCTTGAAATGCCAGTAGCATAGCTTCCAGCCTCATAGCAACACACAAGCCAACACAGCAAGACAAATGGACAGATTGGAGGGTTTTGTTAGTTACTGTGTTGTTGTTGTGAAGTGACATCGAGTTGGTTCTGATCCATACTGACCCTGTATAGTGTTTCCAAGGAGCAACTGCTAAACTTGAACCACTGACCTTACAGTTCAAAGCGACTTGGTAGTCTGACACATTAACCCACAGCGCCACACCAGGACTCCAGTTACTGTGTAGTTTATTTCAATTCACAGTAACACCATGTGTGTACAATAGAATGTTCAAGGATCTGACACTTCAGATGCAGACCACCCAGGGACTCACATATGAGGAAAAGTAAAAAAGTATTATCATCAGGGTTCCAGTTCATAGATGCATGGGCTTATTCCAGACAAGATGCGTAAGCATGTCTCTGCAATCAGTGGATGGCTGTAGATAAGTTGTCTCAGTAATATACTTGTCTTAGTCTCATTATTTGTTGTTGTTGGTAAGTGCCATCAAGTTGGTACCGACCCATTGCAACCGTGAACAAGGGTTTCTGAGGCTGTAAATCTTTACGGGAGCAGGAAGCCTCATCTTTCTCCCGCGGAAAAGCTGGTCGTTTTGAACTGCTGACCTTGCGGTTCACAGCCTGATTCATAACCACTATGCTACCCAGAGCTCCTTAGAGTCTCATTAGAGTGTTCTAAAAATAGGAGATTTTTTTTATGTTACATGAAAAAATGATTTTGTGGTCAATGCTAATATCAAATTTCAAAGAGAACTCAAGAGCAAATCTCAAATCATTGAAGATTTGCAACCAGTTTATGAGAATACAGTCCCACATAAAACAACAGATTTAAGAAAGGTCACAACAACCTCAAAGATGAGTCAAGAGAGGGAAGACTGTCAGCCTCAATGAATGAAGACACTGGCTGAAATCCAGATGCTGGTGGAAGAAGACCATAGAATTACCACTGATAGTTCCTGAAGTTGGGAGCTCACATGGTTCAGCATTTTCCATTTTAAATAAACATCTTGTCTTCAGCAAGCTTTCAGCTCAATTGCATGTCAAAAGTGTTACTCAAATATCAGCTAGTTTAAAGAATGGATCCTTCCATCAGTCTTTTAGCAAGATCCAAACTAATTAATGAATATGATTTTATGGAATGAATCTTAACTGGGGACACATCTTGGATTTACCAGTATCATCCAGACAGATTCAATCAAAACAGTGGCTTCTGAGGGCATTTGTTGGGCCAGTTAAATTCAAAACAGAGAGGTCAGCTCAGAAGGTTAAGGTGACTGTTTTCTGGGATCCCAAAGGCATAATTTTGAAGGACACAGGGCGATAATAGGTATTTATTAAGAAGGAAGTTTTCAAAAAATTGAAAATTGCACTGTTGAGAAAAAAAGACAGGAAAGTTGTACCAAGGAAATTTTTTCCATCACAACGATGCAACTGCTCTTTCTTTGAGGGTAACAAGTATTGTACTAGCATAATTTCATTGAGGAACCTTAGCCTAGCTGCCCTAAAGTCCTGATCTTGCCCCTTCACACTTCGTATTGTTCCCCAAACTCAAAGAACATTTCAAAGGATTTGAATCTCTTAAGGATGCCAAAACTGTGACACTATAGAATAAAGACTGGACTGCTAACCTTAGGACTGGAGGTTCAAACCCACCAACAGTTCCTTAGGAACTCTATACAGGGTCTCTATAAGTTGGAACTGTCTCAATGACACTTAACAAAAACAACAAATCAAAGATCACAAAATTCTTTGGAGAAGGATGACGGAGACTTCTTTAGACAGATGGAGACATCTCTTTTGGAGTATATAGACCTGAAGGGAGGATATGTCAAGAAATAATAGCTTCACATTTTGATATTTTTGTTTAATAAAGTATCTATGGTTTTATAGAGTCCTGGTGTGGTGCTGCAGATTAATGCACCAGACTGCAAAGCCATTTAAACTGCAAGGTTGGCAGTTCAAGCTCACCAATTGCTCCACGGAAACCCTATACAGAGTCGCTCTGGATTGGAATCAACTTGACGGCACTTAACAACAACAACATGGTTTTATAGCAATGCTTTTTACTTACTCTTGTATATCTATTATTTCTAAGATTTAACCTTAATGTTTGCTGAGACACAGAAATTCAAGAGGTCCTTTTCTTTGCTTGCAAATGCAACGGCACAAAGATATTTAGGCTGAGTGGCTCCCCTACAGAAGTATTGGAGTTAAGATCTCTAGATAGGCTAAATTGCAGTTCAAATGCTGATTCTGTAATCCTAAGTAAGTTACTTAACCTCATTGTTGTTGTTCTGTGCTGTCTAGTCAGCTCCAACTCACAGCACAACAGAATGAAACACTGCCTGGTCCTGTGTCATCCTTATAATTATTGTTACACTTGAGTCCATTGCTACTGCCACTGTGCAAATCCATCTCATTTGGAGTCTTCCCCTTTTTCCTGACCCTGTACTTTACCAAACATGATGGACTTCTCCAAGAGCTGGTCTGAAGTCTGAGAGATGAAGTCCAAAGTTTGAGAGATGAAGTCTTGCCATCCTAGCTTCTAAGAAGAATTCTGGCTGTACTTCTCTGGCAGTCCATGGTACCTT